GCTAGAAACCATGGTTGTCATTGGGGAGGTGAACTAGGGTTGAAGGGAGAAATTCACCTTTTGAATTTGGATGTATCATCTTTCCAAAAACAAAAAAGCACGGGGAAACTTAAAACATAAGGTGACACAATTTACACATACACAGATGTATCTTTGAAGTGTCTACTTCTCTCTCCCCCTCCCCCCAAGGGGCTTGGCTTCCTTTTGGAGGAGTGCAGTGTTTTGAACTACCTCTTAGAAGGTCCCTCCCATGTTCCCAACTCTCTGAGGCCGCAAAGAGCTGAGCCTCTAGCTGTGCACTTCCCACCGCACTGTACTAGCCAGTCCCTGGAGCTCTAGTGGCGGCCCCCATCCTCGCCTCCACGCTCAGGCTTTTGTTATTTTCGGCTAGAATGCCACCCATTTCCTCTCTCTCGCCTTAGTAAACCATGCTTCAAGGATTAAAGCCTCACTCCTCCCAGACAACCCATCCATCCAGACTTTTGTAGGTTCTTTTCTTTAAACAACTCCAATGGTTCTTGATTCCATCATTCATTCAACAAATATTAACTGAGCAGCTACTATATGCCAGGCACCAGGAAATGAGCTGGAGATACAATGATGAACATGCAGACAGGGATGGAGTCGATGGGTCTTAATGGAGTTTGAGGGTCCTCAGGAACTTAGAAGCATATAACACAATCGAAATGCTTCGTTCTACATTTGGTGCACCTGTATTCTCTGTCCCTCCTCAACCCCACATTGTCACACCCCAGCTTGCTCCATGAAGGAGGCCACACCTGCTGGCTTTGCCTCTCCACCCAGAGGGTAAGCTCAGCGTGGATCCCAGCATGGGACAGCAACGTTCATGCATGGAGTCACACACTGAGCCTACACGAAAAAACAAATTCCCCCTTAAAATTAAGTGGATGAACAGAATTCTTCCCAAGCATGATTTTTGAGATTTTTTTTCTTTTGGAGTCCACCATCAATGATTTGCCAGAAAGCACAAGGTCATGCCAACATGAATGAGTATGTCCCAGCTGTTGATTGACTTTTAAACTAAACAAATATCTTATGTTTCACGGATGTGTGTGTTCACGGTTGCCATTTTCTACTGGAGCTTAGAACACATCAATGTCAACTGAACATTTCTAAGCAATGTTAGAGAGCTGACTGTACGATTTTGTGTTAAAACATAGGGCCCAGGAAGAATGAACTATATTAACACAGGGGGTCCTTGTCATGGAGTATAACACTGCTCCGTAGTTAGGTTGTCTAGGGAAGCAAAAGTCATGACACAAAATGAACTGACTACATGGGAAATCAGACCCCTGTGGTCTGCATCACTGTCACCTACAAGTCGATGGCCTCACTTTGCCAATCACTGGGTGTCGACATCCACCGTCATGATATGAACACAGAACAAAGTGGCAGCTCCGTGAAATAAAGTGCAGCACTTCACAAAGTCGATGGCCTTGGAAAGGTCATGCAAAAAGAGGTCAATTTGCAACTGCATATCAGAGAATCGCCTTGAACCATAAGACCCCAGGGGCATTGAGAGACTGCGCTAAACACCAGAGAAGGAAAAGAAGCTCTTAGGAAAACTAGTGACTACTCAAATAAGTCTGCAAGAATGATCCTCTTTAGCTCTGGCTGCAGAGGGCAAGCATGACGTGAAGAATGTTGTATTACGCTCTCACATGATGTTGTCCAAAAAAAAAAAAATGTTAAGGCAAAAAAAAAAAAAAAAGACCCTTAATTCATTTTATGTTCAACCTACAAATTATCATCTAGTTACAATTACAACCAAATTCCTATTATATGTAAAATAAAATAAACCTGTTCTCATAATTTGCAATGTCGTTTTTCAAGCCCAGTTAAACCTCACCCCCAACCCCCGATTATATACAGTGAAGCTTTGGTCCGTCTTTTAAATGATCTTCTTTCTAGAACCAATTATCTTCAGATAATCAAAACCTCCTCATTTCATGCCTTTCAGCTCAGCGTATAAAAGATTGCATAGCAAAATGATAATGGTGATGAGCTCTGGGTGATAGAATTCTAGGTGCTGGTAAATTCTTCTTTGCTTAAATAGATGTTTAAAATTTTCTAGAATGAATACATAATACTAAAAATTTTTTAAGTTACAAAGATATATTTTCAGAGCACTATAGTAATGTTTACCCATCTGCCACTCTCTCTGTCTCCTTTGCTAACAGAATTTTATTTCATTCTGGTATTCAGATAAAATCTGCTTAGTGGGATGTCTCTCAGCTCCAGAAAAGAACCAGGAATGGTCCAAACCAATTGTAAACATCTCAGTCCCCTTTGCCAGTGATTGGTTTAGGGGTTGGCATATGACCAAGTTCCTCCCTGATTAAAAAAAAAAAAAAAGACAAGGAAAGAACCTAAATCTCCTCTTCCTTCATGCTTTTGGATATTATCATATGAGGATGTGATGCCTGGAGCTATGGCTGCCATTTTGTAACCATGAGGAAGAAGCCAAGAAAACCCCAAAGAAGTCTGCTTTGGAGCTGCTAAAGTACCCAACCCTAATATCATCAACCTGTAGACTTTCCTATGAGGTAACAAACTCCTACTGTTTAAGCCACTTTAGTTGGCTGTTCTGTTACTTGCAACCAGAAGCACCCCAAATGATATGAACACTGTAACTTTTTGATGTTTACCTTCCCAAAGAGGTGTGTGAACCACTTTTGAAATACTCTTCCATCGAGGGAGACCACAAAGGATGTATGTGCACACAAAAACCAAAGATCTCCCGATCTGTGCGGATGACGGCAGTCCCGTGCCTCGAGTGATCCAGTTCAGGTCACAGCTGTGGTGTCTGGCTAACTCCGTCAGTAACTCAGGGTACTTCTGCCTGAGCCCCCTTACCTTGGGGGCTCACCTGAATTTCTGGGCACGCCTGAATTTCTGCCCTCAGGAACTTCCAGAATTTTGTTCCTCTCAATTCCTAACTCAGATTCCCGTGCTCCCTAACTCAGATTCCCGTGCTCCCACGTGTCAGCTGCCCCTTTAGAGGAGGTGTTAGGTTCTGGTTCCCTGTAGCCTTCGCCGGCCACCAGATGCCCTTGTTCGTATTAACTGCCCAGTGCCTGTGTGTGACTCGGGGTGGCTGCTCCAGGCTGCTCCAGGGAGAAGCCGAGACGACCCCCGAGACACAAACTCCTACTTTGCAAGCTTGTGCCATGGCAGGCACTGTATGAAGCACAGCGAACATCCCCATGTGTGGTAAGAGAGGGGACGTTAGCTGCCTCCAGATGAATAATTTGTGTTTTAATAATTACGTGTTCTTTTCAATGTGCATTAGAAAAATACAAAATGGGTATATCTACCTTCTGGTTTCATGCACGATGAAGATAGTAATAGCTTACACTTAATGAGTTTTCACCAACTACCAGGCACTGCTCTAAGCACTTTCGATGTAATGGTACGTTTACTCCTCACATCAGCCCAATGAGGTAGGTCATGGTTAGTACAATCCCCTTTTACAAATGAGGAAACAGAAGCACAGAGAGGTTAGACTTGCCCAAGGTCACACAGCCCAGGAGTGGCAGAGCTGGGATTGGAACAGAGGCAGCTCTGGGCTAGAAGCCATGCTCTTAACTAATAGAGCACATTGCTGGTTTTTGCTCAGTTCAGACTAAGTTGGGGATGGCGGAAGCTTATAAGAAAAATATTAGGGAAGTAATAATAAGGACATCATTTTTAGGAAGTTCGAGAATAGGCCAGACTAATTGAGGTGACAGAAGTCAGCATAGCAATTACTCCTGGGGTGTCCGTGTGTGGAGGGAGGGTATTGAGGAGGTACAGACTAGGAGGAAGAACAAGGGAACTTTCCAGAAATCTTTCACCTCTTGGTCTGGGTGGTGATTATACCACTGTAGATACACGTAAAAGTGCATTTTGAGCCAAGCACCGTAAATTAGCCCACTCTGCCGTATGCATCTAGGGTCATGCCTCAGTGAAAGTCTATTAACGATCGTGACGATAACAAGACACAAACATGAAGGTAATACGCAAAAGTCTCAAGTCTGGCAAAGCCGGCATGAGCAGCTTTTACAACAAGCTACAGGAGGGAGACTATCACCCCCTTTGACAGATGAGGAAACTGAGGCTGGAGAAGAAAAGACATCTGTCCACCCACCGACCCACGGGGAGTGAGGGACAGGTGGGTGCACACCCGGGGTGGCCGTGACCCGCCCTCTTCGCTTCCCTTCCAGACAGCTGGCCTGGCGGGACGGGGCGCTGCGGAGCCCATGCCCGTATTTGCCCAAGCTCTCCGCTCCCCTGGCGCTGCCGGGCCGCGCACACAGATGCTCGGCTGGCTTTTTCCCTTTTTCAGTCACGGCACTCCTGTCCCCGCGCGCTGCTGCCAAACTGCACATTCCTGGCAAGCACTGCAGGCGGGCGGGACAGGAGGGGCTCTCGGGGGCGGCCCCGCACGGCCCTCGCCGGGCTCCCGCGCCCGCCCCGCGCCGGCTCACCTTGCAGCATGCTCCGGTACGCCGTGTCGGCGATGGCGTAGATGTGAGGCGGCATCTCGTGCCTCTTCTTGCCCTTGTACATGTCGACGATCTTCTCCGAGTAGATGGGCAGGTGCTTGTAGGGGTTGACGACCACGCAGAAGAGGCCCGAGTACGTCTGGGGACAGAGAACCGTGCTTACTTCCAGACCTTCGCCAGGGAGATCAGACAGACGTGCTCGGCGCCCTCATTTTAGAGATGAGGAAGCCACAGCTCAGAGTCCTAGTGGGAACCCCTGGGCATCGCTGATATGCCGGGTACAGGGGAAGAGCAGCAAAGCACGAGATTGGATTTCAAGGCACACATGCTACATGTGGGGTTTTAAACAGTTCTGGGTTCAAATCTCAGCTCCACTCCTACCACTCCTACTCACCTCCTTGGGCCTCACGGGCCTAAATGACAGCCTCCAGCACGAGCACCTACTATGTGTCAGGCACCAAACTAAGCACGACATGAGCATCTTTGTATCGAATGTTCCTAACTACCCTGTAACAGTGATGCTGTGATTTCCCCGCTGCCCATTTGACAAGAGGGGAAACTGAGGCTAGGTGAGGTTGTCACCCGGTCACACACCTGGAGGGAAACCGAGAACTAGAAATCACGACTGTTTACCCCTCTTCACAAAGTACTTCCTCATCTGTAAAATGGAGACAAAGGCAGCTGTCCTTGGAAAGCAGGAAGCACTGACCCGTCCCACGCGGAAGAACCTTAGGAAGGTGACGCTGAGTGAACGGAGCCAGGCGCTAAGGCCCCACATCGTGTGATCTCATTTATGTGAAGTATCCAGAATAGGCAAAACCACAGAGACAGAAACAAGTTCGTGGTTCCCAGGGGCTGGAGAGAGGGGAGGCTGGGGAGTGACTGCTAACGGGTAGGGAGCTTCCTTTTGGAGTCGTAGAAGTGTTCTAGAACTAGACAGCGGTGATCGTCGTACAGCACTGTGAATGCGCTAAATGCCACTGAATTGTATCCTTTAAAACAGCCGTCCCCGACCTTTCTGGCACCAGGGACCCGTTTCATGGAAGACAGTTTTTCCATGGATTGGGGGGTGGGGGGGAACCAGGAACTCTGCAGCCTGGTTCCTAACATGCCATGGCTGGGTGCCGGTCTGTGGCCCAAGGGTTGGGGACCGCAGCTTTAAAATATTTAAAATGGTGAATTTTATGTTACATACATTTTACCACACTTTAAAAAAAAAAAAAAATAGCGAGCCAGGTGCAGTGGCTCATGCCTCTAATCTCAACACTTAGGGAGGCCAAGGTGGGAGGATCACCTGAGGCCAGGAGTTCGAGACCAGCCTAAGCAACAGAGTGAGACCCCAGCTCTACGAAATAAAAAAAATAAAAATAAAAATAAATATAAAAAAATTAGCCAAGTGTGGTGGTACACACCTATAGTCTCAGCTACTTGGGAGGCTGGGGTGGGAGGATCGCTTGAGCCTGAGAGTTTGAGGCTGCAGTGAGCTGTGATCACACCACTGCACTCCAGCCTGGGAAACAAAGTGAAACCTTGTCTTTAAAAAATTTAAAAAAATTAAAATAGCAGTCCTGTTCTACCAGGTGAATAGGAATATAAAGGAAAATAAAAATGTCAGGACCACCTCCCTCAGCTCCTTATAGAAAAGGGAAGATCAGGCTGGAGGGCGAGTCATGAAACACCCACTTCCAGAGGAATTGGCCAGGTCCCCATGGAAAGGTGAGAGGCCTCAGGCATCTACAAGGACTGCTCCACCTCCCCCCACCAGATCATTCACAGGGAAATTCTCTGTTGGCTTCCCACAAACAAGGACATGCAAATTGTAACTTTGGGTCTGCAGGCTGAGTCCAGCTCCTAACACTAAAGTCTGTTTGACTCCACCCTAAGGAATGTCGACTACTCATCTTCCCAGGTACGGAACAGAGACAAGACGCAACGTTCTGCCACTTACCAGGGACATACATCACCGATGCTTCCTTCCCTCCCTTGTCCTAACACTCACCTCATCTGATGTCAAATGCAGAGTCTCACGAGACTGTGACCGTTACCTCAACCTGCCGTACCCTGCCCGCTTTTTTCCTGAAGCCTTCCCTTCTAAATTCCCCTTCAGGAAAACCACCAGGGATTTGTCCGTGGTTGTGTTTTCCCCGACACGTCCTCACGATTTAGCTTAATACGCCGCCATTGGTTGGGACCTGTGCCTCGGTCACTTACCCCGGGCTGTCAGGAACATCAGAAAACAATCCGAACAGGGAAAGGGGACTGAAGGCTCAGGACCTGCCCCCCGTGCCGTGCCTGTGTGAGGCGTCACCGTCACTATTATTGTTCCTCAGCGTACGTCAGACGACCCCGTGGGTTGAAGTCACGGGTCAGGAGATAGCCCAACCTGTCCCATGGGAACTGCTTTCCCCGAGCAATAAACGGCAGCACTTCTCAAGGCTCTGGTGGCCGCAAAGCCTGTCTTCTCCCCCAGAAGTGACCAAGGGAGGAGGAGCGGAGATTCCACCCCAGGTTACATTCAGGGAAAACCAAACAACAGAGAGGCTAAGCGACCTGATCAAGGTCACCAAGCAAGACCCCGGCAGCACCAAGCTCAGCCTGGCCCACTCCCAGGGGTGAGCACGGTCCGTTATACCATCCAGCCTAGGCCCGACCTACAGAAGCAGAAACAGCTGATCATTTGTTTGTTCGTTCAATTCATTCAATATGCGTTTTCCAGATACCATGCAAGGTGTGGGGACTACAGAACATGCAAAAAAAAAAAAAGAAAAAAGCTCTCGAGGGGCTTTCAGTCAAGGGTGGGAGGTGACTAGAGAGTGGGAGGGAACGTCCTTCCAGGGCTTAGTCCCCTAAGGGACAATGGTGTGTGGTGGCCGGTGCCGGTGGAGGAAGGGTATCCTTAAAGGTACAGGATTGATGGGGGAGGGGCAATGATTGCTCAGGTTCCCCCCATTCCCCTGAAAAGGGCATGAATGAGGTCAACATAAGGCCTGTCTAAACATCCATCCACCATTTACTGAGCACCTACTATATACCAGGTCTGTGCCAGGGGCTGGAGACAAAGAAATCAGTGATAGCTGCTGCCCTTAAAGAACTTAAAAATCAGAAGGGGAGATAAGTGTGTTTAAGAAAAGAATCGTAAGAACAGGGGATTAGGGGAACAAGGAAGAGAAGGCCCAAGGCCCTAATCCGTGTTGGGGGTGGTCAGGGAAACTTCTGGGGGGAGGGACCCTCTGTTTTAAAGAGGAGAAGGTGTTAACCAGCTCAGGGTAGGAAGGAACAGAGGCAGAGAGGCAGGAAGGCAGGTCAGGGGGTGCATGCAGGTGAACTGCAAGCAGCTTGGTATAGCTGGACCTGAAGGGGAGCAAAGCAAGGGCAAAGGTAAGTGGGATCACGACCCGCACCCAGGCTGGTGGGGCTGGGGGCTGCCTGGCTGCCATGCCCCTCCCCCATTCCATCACGCAGGCCCCTGCCACCCACCCTGTGAACACCAGCCGCACGAGTGCCCTAAGAGTGGGGAGACCCTTCTATCTCTCCTGTGAGCATACAGTAGGTGCTAACTAAATGCTTGCTAAATGAATGCCTAGAGGATAAATTAACGGTAAAGCTTCCCTAGAACAAAAACAGCCTGCCTTCACCTCTGTGACCTGGGGGCCTTATAATGCACACAGTAGGTGCTCAGTAGACCTTGTTGAGCCTGGGCAGGGCTGTGTCCTGTTGTCCTGTTCATCTGTGTCCCTGTCTCCAGCCCAGGCCTCCAAAAAAGTACCCAATCTGAACAAAGGTCAGCCGAACCCCGCCTCCCCTTCAGAACTCAACTCCACCTCCAGCTCCTCGGGGCCATGCTCACTGCCACGCTCCTGTTGAATTCGGGTATCACTCACAGCCCAAACCATCCCCACCCAAGCCCTTGACCTGGAGGCAGTAAGGGGCAGTGGTTAAGAGTAAGGGGGATTTGGATTTGAACCCTCACTTGGCTACTTCCTGGCTGTGTGACCTTGGGCTAGTCCCTTAACCTCTCTGAGCCTCACTTATCCTCATCTGCAAAACAGGGAGGCATACGAACAACTTGTTCAGAGGTTGCCTGGTAGGTGGTAGGTGCTATAATCAATGTTAGTGACTATTATTGTGCTCCCTTCGTTCCTTGATGACAAAAACCTTGCCACCTTGGAGCCTTCACATATGCTGTTCTCTGTATCTCGAACACTTTTCCCTGATCTTCCCAGAGCCATTTCTATCACCTTTTTCAGAGCTCAGCCTCTGGGACCATGAGCTGCATGCTACCGTGTCTCTAGCACCCCCCTCAGTGCTGGCCGCAGGGTAGACAATTCTTGCTGAATGACATGAATAAAAGGAAGAAGGAAGGAGCACACAACCCTCTCCACTCCATCACTTGTTTCTAAAGGAGGAATATTATTTTCCTCCTGTTTGCTTAACACCTCTCCTGGTGCCATGCACACAGCAAGCACTTAACCCATGCTTCCAGGCAGATCTGAATCTCTGTTCAGTCCAGCAAAGACTTCCCAAGCAAGCCAGGGTGCAATGATCTCGAGGAAGGCCTGGGCAGGCAGCAGCATGCCTCACGCAGGGCACTGGGCTTTGGAACCTGGCTGCTCCACCACCGCTGTTAACCTTGGTTCACCCTCGCCCCGACCCAGCCCAACCGGAGTTGGCTATGTTTCCACCCCCTGGTCCCCCTGACTCTCCTCCAGCTGGTTAAATTCAAAGGTTTCATCATCCTAGCCTCCCCTGTCCCAGCCAGCGTCTGACGGGCACCGTGCCACCAGTAGGTGCCAGCTGCAAACCTGGGATTTCCCTCTTGTGACCATATTAGGAAGCGACTCCGGTTTTTCCCTGACACTTTATATGGCCAGCCCCAGAGCCCGAGCAGGGGGCTGCTCTCAGGCCTCTGGCAGAAACAAGGAAGAGGGAGGAAAGGTGGAAGGAATACAGGCCTTAAGACACATAGCCCTGGGCGGAGTCTCAGGTAATGTCGCCTCATTGCTTGCCTGACTTGTGCATGTGGCCCTGCCTCAGAGCCTCCTCTTTCTCCTCTATAAAATGATGGATAATCAGACCTTCTTTACAAGGCTGGACAGCAGTGTCACAGCTTTCTGAAATCTAACCTGGAGATAGACACAG